ATGGCTAAGGATGAACTTGACCTGTTTCCAAGGTGTTGTGGGAGAAGAAATACATAGCATCATTTTCTCCCCAGAATCAGCCCATCCAAGAATTCATTCACTTTATTGTTCTCCTGTGTATCAGAATTAGTATTTTCTGAATTATGTAAGCTAGTAGTGCTATCTGGTTTACTGACAGAAGGATCCACAGGATATGGTCAAGGTGAAGATGGCAGCCATAATAGATACAACGTACTTAAAAAAAAAACATTTGGAATTTTGCCCTTTGTAAACTTCTGTTTGCTGAGCTTCATTGCAAACACCTCTGCTCCAGTTGGTTACATTGCAATGTACCCAGAATGCTCTCTTCTTCTATTATTAGTCAGAGATTTTTCCATGGCTATTTATTTAGAGATGATAGAGACTACAGTTATTTACTATTTCTGTTGAGTGGTAAAGAAAACCCAGGCTACTGAGTACACTGGTGGAATTGTGAAAAATGTGAACCTATTTGTTTTTAAAGTGAATTTGACACGAGTTATGTCTCTTTCCCCTTTTAGCCCATAAAGCCAATATTTCTTCCTCCCTCCTGAAGAGATAAATAAGTAATGGACTCCATTATCCAGGGATTATGGCAAATGAGATTAGACAGATACAACACAAGACACGGCAATGATGAAAGTGAAGACTTTCTTAAACTTTCTAGCTGGGTTACAGGGCCTTGACGATATCATCCTAAATCTGTTGTGAGGAAAAGCCTTAATAGAATTAAGCCTATATCTAATTTAACAATAATGGTACCTTATTCTTTTGGTTGTATGGTAGCCTTAAGGCAGTGATGGCTAATGTTTTTCTCCTTGTGTGCCGAAATCATGCCTCACCCCCTGTGCATTGTGCATGACTCCTGTGCTCCCCCTGCCCCCCGAGCATGCTCATGACCCCTCACCCCCCACACATGCACATGTGATACTATCCCCATGCATGTCCATGTGTCTCCCGCATGTGTGTCAGAGTCCCAAAAATCAGCTGGCTGGCAGGAGGTGTGTGCACATACATGGTGGAGCTGACTTAGGCAATGGCTCATGTGCCCGCAGAGAGAGCTCTATGTGTCACCTGTGGCATGCGTGTCAAAGATTTGCCATCACAGCCCTAAGGTATAAGGAATATTGCAAGAACCTAATTCAAATCTGGGCATTTTATGGCTTTACAGGCCATATCTGACCCTTCAGCTGATCCTATCCAGTCACATCAGCACCATTGGTAGCAGGGGGAAGGCAGTGTTGGCATGGTCAGGGTGGCAGCAGTTGGAGGTTAAATGGGCAGGAGGTAGGGCATCAGCAGGGAGCATTGGTGGGGAGCAGGGCTGTTACAGAGTGGAGTCCTGGCAGTAACAGCTTAGGTCTTTTTATTCTCTTTTTGGCTGGTTGATTGCATAGATGTTGTTAATATATATGTGTCTGTTGATGGCTAATTTGTCAGACTGCTAAGCTTCTAGAAATTCTCTGGCCCTTTTGGACTTGACTTGGTCTAGGATTGTCACATTTCCCCAATTAAAACTATGTTTAAATCTGTTTATATCTTGTGAAATTAAAGAATTTTCATCATGTCTTCTGACTGCTAGTTGGTGTTCATAGATGCATTCTACCAGTCTTCTGCCTGTTTGTCCTACACAGTGGTTGTTGCAATTTTTACATTATATGTTGTAGATGGCACCTGTTTTTTCTTCTGGGAAAATATATTTTTCCTTATACATTTGAAGCATAAATTGATTGAAAGCTTAGCTATAGATTAAGAATTTATTCTATTTAATTTTTCACCTGTACCAACAGTATACACTGCATTATTAATTCTGAGATGGAGGAATACTTTTACAGAGAATTTCTACATCTCTAATATCTGAGTGATTATGCATTTATATAAAATATTATTACAATATCAATGCTAAAAGTAAAATAAGGTGGGATCATTAAACTTTTCTTTTTACTACAAATATCTTTAAAATGGCCTTTCTTGACTTAATTTTTATTTCTTTGAAATGCAGCATCTGCCAACTTGACCTTAAAGGACCAAAATCTACAGCTGCCATTATTTAGGTTTTGAATGTCTTTATTATGGGGAATTATTGCATTACAGCTAATGCTTTCAAAACAATGCAATAATAGAAAATAACACCATGAATAGCAGCAACAGTATTATCACTAGCTTTCCTATCCCCCACTTTGATATTACATTTGCTTTTGTTATTGAAAATCTTTAAAATGTTCTATGTTGGTTGAATTTATATTGGTCTGCAGGAATGGAAAGTCAATCAGCAATAGTTTAAAAAGTGACTTGCTGTATTAAGTTTCTATTTAAATGCCACCAAAGTTCCCAGAATTAGACCATCTTTTAAAAGACCAATGTTCAACCAACATAGTAGCTTTCTTCTATTTATATGAAAAATATTATACTACAGTGACTATATTACAGACCAATGGGTTCAAAGCCAAAATTGATTCACAGATAGCTAATATCTTTTCCTCATTATAAGAACTTAGTAAAGATTCAAAAATCACTTGGTGAAGTAGTAAGGGACAATTGTATTACAGCTACTTTATATTCATAAATTATAGGGGAGGGATGACATTAAACTTTCAGTAGAGCTAGAACTACACTATATAGATAAATAGTACAAGGTAGCCAAAATGTCTTCACCTACTCCCAATTTTTTTCAGACATATACCCTAACTGGTATATATGACTTTCAGGGAGTACTTTTATAGTACATTTAAATTAAAACTAACAACATCAGGTAAATGGATAAGTGAGCCAGTTTCTACCAGATCTTGCAGATGTGAAGTGACTTTTAATCAAATATTCTCTGATTTTAAATAAATCAAAGCAATATAGTACCACAAGGACGGCTAGTACATTTTATACTAAAAGTATAAAATAGAAGACTGGTAATGCATTGATTTGCCTTCTCTAAATGCTGTTTGATCAATCCAGGTATTTCCAAAAGAAGTAGTTGCATTTGTAATCTATTCACTATGCTCAACAAACTAACTGAGCCATAATTGACTAAATCAAACCTATTTCCTCTCTTATGCATGGGAACTATTATAGATCAGCTCCAATCCTTGGAAGACAAAATGTTCCTAAAAAGAAGCATTCACAAAATGGCATTATTTTTCTTTTTCAATAATTGAGGGTGAGGGAGTAGATCAAATCTATGGGGTCATTCAATGGAGTGCAGGAGAGAGGGCCAGGTTTGCTGAATATGGTAGGGTTTGAAGAGAGCCAGGCCTTCCACCACACATGGCCCTCTCCCATCCCACTGATTGTGAGAATGTTGGTGTTCACTAATATTCCCTCCTCTGGAATGGCAAAAACAATAGCATTTGCCAAAATGGTAGAAATACCAACATTCTAAAACTCCCATGCTTGCTAGCATTTTCAACAGATATGAAATAAATTCCTCTAGTGCATGGCAGGGTAAGGAAAATCATTTGATGTACTGGGGAATGGAACAGAAATGCAATGTCTCCTCCACTTGGAACCTTCCCTGCAGGACTTCTCCACTGACTTACTGAGGAAGCCACAGAGAAGATTGCAAAAGATGATCACATGATCACAGGACACTTGGCAATCGGTCATAAATGCAAACAGATTGCTAAGTGCCTGAAATGTGGCCATATAAGGGGAGGAGGGATGCTGGTATTATATTATATGGTGCCAAAAGTTTTTTATAGACTGCAAAGCATGATTCTGAGACTGTTGTGACTGTGATTGTTAAATGACCAGAAGTAAGTTGAGGACTACTTGCATAGTATTGGTCTTTAGGGTCTTAAATAGGTGATTCCAGTAATTGCAAATCCTCCACGTTCCTCCTTTATATTAGAACATTATGTTTTAATTGTATCTCTTTCTGCTTCTATAAAAATAACTTCTATCATATCAATCTCTTAAACATAGGAAGGTAATTGGGTGAGGTAAGAAGTAATATTATCAATGTCCATGCAACCAACACCCCAGGATGTAATGTATATGTATACGTGTGTGTGTGTGTGTGTTATATGTATATGTGTGTATATACAGTATATATATATGTGTGTGTGTGTGTGTGTTTTGCAATATCTATCTATATCTATATATTTAAAGTCACAACCCCCGGTATGCCCAAATATGGGAGGAAGTTCACTGCTTCCATTCTCTGTCCATCGGCTCTTCACAAGAGACCATCCAGACAGAAACCTAATTTTTTTTTACTGTTGCCTTTGTTAAAGGCAAATATAACACATATCTCTCTCTCTCTCTCTCTCTCCTCTCTCTCTCTCTCTCATCTATCTATCTATCTATCATCTATCTATCTATCTATCTATCTATCTATCTCTANTCTATCTATCTATCTCTATCTATCTATCTATCTATCTATCTATCTATCTATCTATCTATCTATCTATCAAATTAGATCTCCCAGGAGATGTCTCCCTCTCCCATCCTGTGACTGGCAATCAAGAAAGCAAGTGTGTTGTTAATGCCACAGCAATAGAATATAATCATGGTTCAATCAGGCAGAAACTTTTTTTTTTAATCCTGTCACTGTAGAATTTGTTGAACATCCACTTTCCTTAGGTCTTCTAATTTTACAAACATTTTACCTTGTGTTAACTTCTTATCTAGATGCTACTGTTGTTTACCTTTTAATTTGTGTCCATTAAGAGCAATGTGCATCAATTTAAATGGAGAATTCTGCCAAATATGCAGAAACTGCTATACTACTATAGTTTTAGCTGCCCTATTTATCCAAGTTCAACATTGGAGCCAATACGAATCCCAGTGAATGGTGTTCTATTTATTCCTAACATAATTAGCATTTTGTAGGTCTGGAAAGCATACAAAAATGTTTCACACGTTTTTCACATTTAGGCTTCATCCTTTATTAGGTAGTGAGTAAGAGACATAGAAAGGATTGTTTGTTGCTTACAGAGCTGAGGTCAAGGAAAAACTTTTATGTAAGAGATTCAGGTTTGCATATAGCACTGTGATGACAAAAAGAAAAAAAACCAAACAACATAAAAGAGTATACAGCAGGTGATAAGAAGAGTAGGAATGCCTCTTTATTCTGAGCAAAACTTTATCTGTGCCATTCTTACTGTGCCTCCATAAACACCACAGGCCAAAGTATTATAATTCTGTTTATTTTAGTTATATTTTTAATAAGAAAAGGCATGTCCCCAGGCCTTCTCCTAGGTCATTTGCCTGATTCCCAGTCATCAATTTGCATATTATTTCATGTAAGAAAAATCATTTCTAGGACTGTCTAGTCATGTTATGGCTTTGCTATAAGAAAAATAATTATGGCCACCAACAAAGGCTCTGTGGGTTCTGAAAAACTTTAGATAGCTTAGTGTGGGGGGAAAAATGACACACATAGACATGTCAGCAGTTGTTATCCTTATTTGCACCAAAAAGTTGAAATAAATTGGAATGCATCCTAAAATGGTCATAGGGGTGCTTTCCCAAAAATTTTTTGATAAAGAAAATATTTCTAGAATTACTATACACAATCACCATACACATTAGTGTTATATCCTGTTCCATTTTCCTAATATCACTTGGAAAGTATTTGGAGATATATGGTAACCATTTTTGTGGTGAGCATTTCTATACATTAGAGAATAAATTCAATTTTAGATTCAGGTGAATCTTCAAGGCTATTCCCTAATGGGAAATCTTCCAAATGACTGCACTTTTAACTAGCTATAATGAAAACTGAAAAACTGATACAACTAGAAACTTGGAGAAGGTTGTGGTGTGGTCTTATTTTAATGGTTTAATTTAAGAATAGACATATGATTATTTGACCTGATATCACTAGCTGGAAGCAAAAAGTTAAGAATGTTGGTATCAATTAATTACATCAAGTGGTTTGTAAGAGTTTTGCAGTCCAAATCTAGTTACACTAATTGCAATCTTCCTCTGAATGTTGAATATTCCCATTTCCCATTGGCGCTGGCCAATATGGCAATGAGATACAAAGAGAGACACAATTCAATATCTTGAAGTTTACATATTTACTGTCTCTGTGAATTAATGTAGTCAGAGGCAGGTATGTCTATTCACATTCATAGATTTTTTTTCTTACAGGTTTTTTTCCAAAAATTAAATTTCAATGTTATCATTCCATAGCAATAAATATAATCAATGGCTAATTCAGCAACCTGGAAAATGCATTTTTAAATATGTTAGACTGATTATTACAATCTTAAACAACCTTCCAAATGAAAGAAAATAAAACCACAAATAAACATATATTCTTGAGTTCATATTCTATAAGTGGTATAAGACTGATAAACTTAATGAATCAATTTTAGCTCTCTTGGAAAAATAAGAATTTAAAAATCTATGTCAGTTTGAAGTTTGGAGGCACATAGTTGGATTAGATAGAGAATTTCAGCCATAGAAATTTGCTCATGGCATAATCTATACTCTTATCTCCTTCTTTATCCTGCAGTCTTTCAACTTACAAAAATCTGCTCCAAAGGATTGAGAGGTCCTTTATAATAATGTAACAGATGGTTTTCCATGCTTTACTAAGAATGGAAGAAATCCTTCTACAAATGTTCCTACCACTACTGGACCACTTTGGCCTTTAATTTCCACATTCTCCCTAGGCCCTGGTACTTTTCCAGTTTCTCATACTCCTTCTTCCTGATGTTGCTGCAAATTGGCAGCAACATCTATCACTTCTACTGACTTCTGGTCTGTCTACTACCAAGATACCTGGTTGATTGGCCAGTACCTGCCCCGGTCTGAATTTGGAAATCCCACGGGATCTTAATCCTTTTACTTTTCAGAACCTTCTGTGCAATCTTCTACAGACTTACATAGACTTAGAAAAGTCTATATACACATCCACACCCACACATGTATATGGATATGTGTGCGGGTGAGTGCACACACACACACTATCTTTTCTAAAATGAATCATCATACTGATTAGTGGTGTTGAGTTTCAGATTTGGAGAGAAACATTAAAGCTATATATTTGATATTTGTCAACAACTCTTCAGCTTTTTCTTAGTATCACATAGCAAACTGAATAGAACTAATGTAGTGAATTGGTATTAGGGTATAATCTTGGGAGACAGGGGGAAGTGCAGCAGCCTAGACGCCGTTCCTATAAACAAAATAAGAGTTGGAAGGATGGATGAAAGTAATGAAAACATCTTAAAAAGGACTCTGTAATTTTAGAAGCCTAAAGTATGGGAATGCATAGATCCCTTCAGACTTCCAAGATTTGGTTACTGTAACCTTACAATAATGATAGTATTAAGTAGTGCTACTTTTGATTGCTGCTTCTTGTCTGGGCTACTTCAAAGGGCTAACATGTGGTATAGTGATTAATAGGCTACCATTGGCACAGGCACCAGTTTAGAAGCCACAGAGTACTTACTGCCTTTCTGTCCTTAATCACCATCAGGACTGCAACTTTAATGCTCTTGTTATATCATGCTCCATTCTACTAACTAAAGTGAATGTAATGCAAAACAAGATGACTCTGCCAACTAAGTGGGACAAGTTCTAATAACAGCAACAACCTAGTTTGAATAAGTAGCTGCACAGCCATTTTAAAGAGTGGTGGACTGATACGAGAAGAGTGTGCCTCCTTATCTATCTTCCTTTTAAAGCTGAAGTGCTGTCTGATTTAGTGTACTAAATGGGGTGTTTGTGTATGCTAACAATAATAGAAAATAAAAATAATAACTATTGATAATATATAATACAGGAATGTGGTAAATTTATGGAGGTTGCTTTAATATAACTAGTATTTCATGAATAATCTTTAAGCTTCCACTGTCCACTCAACTTAAAATGTGGTCTATTTGCTAAAATCTACTTGTGAGCATCATAGCTGTATAGCAGAATGCTGCTTCTGAATGAGCAGCTGATCATTTAATTTCTCCAAGAAAATGTCAGCAGAAATATCAGAGATTCAGAATAGATTCATATCTTTTCCATCCTCTCTGCTATTTCTTGTCAACTGTTTCATAACCCTTTTCTAAAAATGAATGACTAATTTAATTATTTTATATAGTTTTCTCTGCATAAATTATTTTGAATTTTAATATATACATTATAGCTCTATAGATTTCCAATACTTCATTTTTAATGCCTCACAGTGAACGTACAGCCTTAAGGTTGCAATCCCATATCAATAAGACTTTCCTTTCAGTAGGTCTGCAAGACAGTATAAAGGATAAAAGGTTATTGTACATAAGACAGACACAAAATTTCTGGTCCATGGGTTGCATCTGTCCACATAGTATGGCTTTCTGATAAAATATAACTTAGATTTATATTAGATCCCAACAGTAGCAATGTACTTTATTATTAATGTAACCTCTAATATGTGGCATAAATAAACTACTTCACAAATCTTCTGTTCTGTGTTCCTTTTGTTTGTTCTATAATCAATCCTCTATCCTATTCATTGTCTAAACACTGTTTTTAACTACAATCTGCTGAAATACAGTTTGTAATATCTTCTGTTATGAGATTATAAATTTTACAGTGTTAATTTGATTTTAGATGCATTTCCTTTTTCCATAAAATATTTCAAAATATTCTTTCACTTTGGCAAACCTGAAATTCAAGAAAATGGAGTAGGGGACATGACATTTCAGTGATATGAAAACCAACTGCTACCATGGAGATTTGACTGAGGGAAAAGGACCTGTTTCATGAGAACATTAGAAGCACAGGAGATCAGATCACTATTGGGCTATTTAAGATTATTGCAGTGTTGATGAAGATGTCCCTGCCAGGTTACATCACTTGTTATGGACCCTGATTCCTTCACCTCCTGGTCTATAGACTAAGATCAATTTCTCCTGCCTATATTGATTGCTATAGATAACACAGATGCCACATTGTATCACATTGAGTACACAAGAACATGTATGTATAGTAGACCTTTTTCCTCTGTCCTGAACAATCATTACATTTAACATTACATGTACATTTAAAGCACAGAGAAATGTTAAATGCCACTTGTGATGAAGCAAAGAGGCCAGATGGCTAGGGAGCCCGTTAGAAAGAAATGTCCAACTAAGGGCTTTCAAGATTAGAGTTTCACTGAAATGATGACATAACTAATTGGAACGTCTTGCATTCAGGAGAGAAGCCAATATTGCAATCCTATCTGAACACATATGCTGTAAATAAAATCCCTTTTGAGTTATGCTTGACTCCTGACAACTATATAGTTGGGTTTACCATTTTGATTTACTTGGCAACAAAGCAGAAGTGGCTTACCACTCCCTTCTTAATTTGTTTGTCAACTCTGTTGAATAGGGTGTATCCTAGGGGAAATTGTGTGCAGGGTGACTGCCAAAGCTTCTTCATAGGCTCACAAATATTGTGGCAACTTGACAAAGAAGGAAGATGTCAATTATGTTTTCTCAGTTTATGAATATTTCTGCACTGTATCTATTTTCAGCAGATAAATAACCAGGAAATGCTGACTTGACAGGAACAGTGGTTAAGTGCACTGGTCTTCACAGTACTTTTGTTCCTTTTTCCCTTTCATTCTAAGAGTTAAGTATTTTATGTACATTGAAACCAGTTAATGCCCTTTAAACAGTTCTGTTTAGTTGTTCATAAACAATAGTTACTTAGGTGGGATCTGTGCCAAAAAGCACAATCAAAATTGCTTCAATACTAGTATGTGTGTGTATATGTGTATATGTATACATACACATAGATTTTTTTTCTACATATATGGATATTTATTCATTTTACACACACACACACACACACACAGACACACACACAGACAGACATCAATGTTTCAGGATAACTTGTAAGATTCTCATTGGTAGAATATGCAGCCAATTTTCTTTCTTTAAAATTGATTAAGAGCTCTATCAAAAGTGGTGTGTGTGTGTGTGTGTGTGTGTGTGTGTGCGCGCACACACACAGTAAAATTAACACTGCATAGGTCATTGTCCTTGTTTTGCTTTTGTTCTGAAAAATTATTGCAGTACACTTAATTCATTGATGGAGTTCAATATGGAGCAAACAGGACAGGTGTGTGAGTCGTCCGTATAGGTCCAGGGGCGGGTCGAAGAAGTGATGGAGGAAGTGCAGAAGTCTGAAAAAGAGTAGCTGGTGGGGCTGTTCGAAGACTGAAAGGGGAATTTACAGCCACAGCAGCAGCTGCTGCTGCAGCTGCCAGTGGGTTGGGGAGTATCCGTGGAGCTACTGATTTTGCAGCTTCTTTTGAAAATACAAGTTTGACCTGAAAGGGGAGAGAAAACAATAAAGAATGTTATTTGTTCAGATCACAAACACTGAAGATTAGTTTTTATTGCAAAATATCTAACATACTTGATGCTATTGCAAAAGGAAAGGTAAATCAAAGGTTTTAAAGGAAAATAAAATATTGAAAAAATGAAAATAAGTAAGTAAGAACAACAGAAAAGAGAACTATATACATAAAGAATAAGAAAATCAGTATACTCTGATAATCAATATTTACATTTCATACTGGGTGAAAAATGTCCATAAATTGTTAGGCAAAGGTTCGCATTTTGGGAGAAACAAATGTTCATTTTCAAGTGTGTGTGTGTGTGTGTGTGTGTCAGGGGTGGGTTTCTCGCCCCGTTCCAACCGGTTTGGTTGGAACGAGGCTGGCGGCGTCCTCGCGCATACGCGCGTGCCGCGCGCATGCATACTAGCGTCTGTGCGATGCTCCAGCTGCTCCTGGAGGATCGCACAGGCGCTGTATGCGTCCTGCACATGCGTGGAAGCGCAGAATTCGGCAAAACCGGGTAAGGAGCGGGAGCGGGCGCGCGCGGGGGGGGGGCTTCGCCGTTCCCGGAAGTTACTTACTTCCGGGTTCGGCGACCAACGGGATCGCGGGGACCGCCGCGAACCGGTTGAAACCCATCCCTGGTTCGGGGGGAAAAAACTAAA